GCCGGGGCGGAGAAACGCTGCTCCGCGTCTCCCTGGTCTGCAGACCAGGAAGACGCGGAGCAAAGCCGCAGAGGGGCTGGGGCTGCGGGGCAGCCCAGGCGCGCCTGGGCTGTCCCGCTGCAGGCGTGCTCCAAGGCTTTGCTCCCCGTCTCCCTGCAGACCTTGCTCTGCCCCAGGCTTCCTGGAATCAGCCGCTGATCAGTTTCAGCAGCAGCTGACTTGGGGACGCCTGGGTTTCTTAAGTTGAATCTGTATGTAAGTCACAACTGGCATCCAGATTCAGCCACGGTTGAAACTGATCAGTTTCAGCAGCGGCTGACACCAGTTCCGACTTACATACAGATTCAACTTAAGAACAAACCTACAGTCCCTATCTTGTACGTAACCCGGGGACTGCCTGTAATGGGGAGCTGAGAGATTAAGCTGCTTCTCAATGTGGAAGCCTTTATTTTAGTTCTTGTGTGCCCTACAAACCACACATGCCTGATCTAGGTTACACCATGAAGGTCAGCTTAAGGTACGCAACTCCAGCTATGCAAAATGCCGAGCCCTCAAGCCAAGCCCTGGCAGCATTCAACAGTGGGAGGCCAACATGAGCAAATGCTCCCATCAGCTTCCCTTACTCCTCGCCAAATGAGGAGTACCAGACGCCTGTGGGAGCTGCCCTCAACATTCGATTTAATGTTCTAGACTATACCCACTCAAGCATGAATCTTCTGGTAAGTACAGACATGCCTACAGTGACCCCAACCCTTTATGCATGCCTCAAGAAACTCCTGGGGTACATTAAAATAGATTAGACATTTATTTCCCCCTCTACATATATGACACTCTCAAAAGCAGCAATTACAAGTAATCTCACAATTCTAGAGTCATTGATTTTTTTTATTTTCCATTTAGCATATTTTTAAAAAAAAAACCTAGATCAAAATATCAAGAAAAAAATGCAATAAACCCTGGGCCAAGTGATATGGTTATTATGATAAGTAGTTAGGAAATAGCAGTTTCTTTATACTTGGAAAGACTGTTTATTTTGTGCCCACTATGTAATTACTGACATCTTAATTATTCATTCCTTTGTTTTGGGGTTTATAAACAATATTATAAGTGATTACATTTTGAGCAGTTAGCACAATTAAATGTGCAACACAATGCACAGAAAATGAGGGGAGCTAGGATTTATTTGCAGCTCTAGCCTTAGCCTGTTTCATGATTTTGGGCAAGTCATTTTGCAGCTCTGTGCTTCAGTTTCCCATCTATAAAACAGGGATAACATTTGTAAAATGTTCTAAGCTTTACAGATGAAAAGGTGCTAAGAATATTATTATTACAGAAATAAGTTTCTTGGTTTTAGGATTCCCCATATTTGGGAGTGGGTTTTTTGTTTTGTTTGGGATGTCTATTTTCAAAATACATATTCTTTTAAGTTAGGGTTATTTTTTAAACAATGCATTTCAGGTTCCACAGAGTACCTTTAGGTTGCCTGCTTTAAAGAGGACAGTGAAATGAATTGCACTAGCAGCTTCAATACATGAGCGAACGCATTATTCTCTTTATCACTGACATGTAATACACACAACAGCTGGGAAAAAAGCCTCCATCTTTCTAAACTGCTGAATTATATATTACTTGATACTCCATTGATTCCTAGATAACAGTAAGATGCATACAAATGACACTGCTTTTCTCTAAAGGCAAGAATGGATACAGCCATCAAATTTACAACATCTAGCACACTTTTCAAGCATAGCTGACTTGCAGAGTTTTCAGTGCTATTTGGAAAACAGCTCAATATACAGCATTTGATATAACATGAATCCAAATGCATAGTAATTAGTCTCTCACACCACATTCCATTTATGCAGAATAACATGTACCATTTTCTTTCATTATCTTGATAAAAATAACTACAAAACAGAACATCTGAGGAATAACAGATGGAGGTCACCACAAAAATTCTCAGCACAATAGCTGATTTTGATCAATAGTTTTGTAGTTTATTTTAAATTAT